TGTGTGTGTGTGTGTGTGTGTGTGTGTGTGTGTGTGTCTGTGTGTGTGTCTGTGTGTTGGGGTAGGGGTTCTCTGATAGCCTGCTCACTCCCTAAAAACCCTAAAATGAAGCCTACTAGCTGACATATCATATACCTACAGGCTCAATCACCTTTTCATTCTGGGGTAACCCCCACAGGCACCTATATCAACCATTAGTCCTTCATGTTTAAATATGATTAGATAGCAAGGCTCTTGCAGAAAACCAGCAGCTCTTAAGATGAGGACCAAGATAAACACCATTATTCATCTTGGAAAAAGTGAGGATACAAAATTCTAATTAATATATTCAGGACACTTCCTAAAGATACTGCAGATATAAAATAGAAAATAGAAGCAGGTGGTATTAAAAATAGCTACTGAAGCACAATACAAAATTTACAGAATTACATATCTTTTAAGAGTTTAATAAATGTTAAAAAGGAGTTCATGGAGATGAAAGCTGTAATGGCCAATATAAAAAAAAAAAAAAAGAACAGCAACACCACACAATGAGTTAAGGAAATTCTCCAGAATTTAGAATATAAAGAAATAAGTAGAAAAGTTAAGTGACTCAGAGAAGTGTGTCTACGAAATACAATCCATGGGATTCGTAAAATGATTCCCTGGGATTGAGGAAGAAAGCTTCTAGATACAGGTTGTTTATTTGTATCTCATCCTTCAAGATTATATTAGGGTCAGTTTATAATGTAAATAATTAATTAGCACAGAGGTACATTTATAACTTTTTTTGAAGTGTGCATATACACATATTGTGGTCCATGCATACTTCTCCAACAGATGATAGGTACAGATCATATTCTGGAAATCATGAACAATCTAAAAAACCTCCCACAATATTCATATAACAGATGTCTAAAAAGAAAACAGGTAAAATAAAAGGAAAAAAAAATAAAGAAAAAAAAAAGAAGACAAATTTCTCAGAACTGAAGAATCTTTTTAACAGAAAGGCATGAGTGTCAGGCCAGATGAGTGGGGGTTGGGGTAGGAGGGTAAAGAGTGGGAAATGGGTAAGACCCACACCTGGACAAAATCTTGAGAATTTTAAGATAAGGCCAAGATCCTAAACGCTACCATGAAGGGAAAAACATGATACCTACAAACACAAAAATCAGATTGTTCTGAGAGTTTGTATTAGTAACAAAGGATGATAGAAAAAACTGTAGCAATACCTTCATAGTCCTGAAGGAAAAGGATTTTGAATGGACTTCCATATTCAGCCAAACTAAAAATCAAACATGAACCAACATAAGGTTTTTCCCCCTGAAATCATCTATTCTCTCTCATCTACCATCTCTTTTAACCTGTACATCATTCCCTAATATGTAATTCTTTTTCAACAATTTTACCCAAATATTTATTGCATCTAAATAAATGCTGGTTATTGGTCTTCTTACATGTCTATCAGCATGTATTTAGATATATAAGTCAAAAAATGCTTTTATATTCCCATCTGTTAAAGCATAGAAAATTAAATGTACTTCTTCATAACATGCAGAGGAACTCTAGCAGAAGACAAATTCCAGAGCTTGGGGTTTTTCACTTTTTATGTCTCTACTTCTGCAGGTAGCTAAACTGTGCTATCAACATAAGATGCCACTTTTAAGCCCTAACTTTATGGCGTCCATAGTAACTTCAAAAGCAATTTAGCCCAACAGCATCCAATTGAATAAACAAATATTAGTTATTAATCAGGTTGTTTTTAAACTCAATCTTTAAAGTTTTTCCTACAGATATTAATTGCTTCAACAAAGTATGCTATTTTCTGCAGTCTTTTCTCTATTTAAAGAAAATTAGATATGTTTCCCCAGTAAATACTGAGTAGAAATAAAAAGATTGTAAATAACTTTAGTATCAAGGGCTGTGGATTTACTCAGAAAATAAAATTTCATGAAATTAGAAATAATGTATCCAATTATTCTAATTGACAAAATCTGTAACTATTGTATGCCATCCAGTTCTGACTTTAATCTCAAGTTAAGCTTTGTGAAATAAATGAACTCTATTCTTTATAAACACTATAAATTATCAAAACTATTTAAAAAGTTCTGAAAAAAATTCAAAACAGCTGTTTAGAGGTTGAGTTAATTCGTGAAAACCAAGTTTTTTTCAACCTTGCTTAATGTATATTACTTCTTATGAAATGCCTGCAACAATGAGTTAACTCTGAAGGTATCTAAAGATATTAAAATACAACTACACATACAGATACAGTCATTTTAATCTCATTAAAATGCATATAGTAACCCATAGAAATGAAAAGACTTCTACGATTCTCTACTTAGAATTAAACCAGGCCAGAGCAACAATAACAGTGTGATTAGAAAGCTGGTGCCACACTTATCGCCTTGCATCCAAAACCAAGACTCCTTGCCTAAACTCTGAAAAAAGCTGCTATTAACAGGGCATCTCTCATTACCATCTCTGACACCCTATGCGTCACCGCTCCAGACCTGACTCCAAAATCACGGTCACACAGCGGACTAGGGAAAGAGGCAAAGTCCCCTTCACCCGGGGAGAGGCGCGGAAGTGCCCTGCAGGAGCAAGGCACGCCTGGCGTGGAGAGAGAAGAAAGAGTTAAGAGAGACGCGGAAAAGGTGACACATGGATAGAACCAAAGACCCGGGAGGGAGAGGCAAAAACAAGAAGCAACCGGAGACAGAGATAGCAGGGAGGTCAGAAGGGTGAAAAGGGCAGGGGCGACAGAGACAGGCCAGGCAGAAAGGCGCCCAGAACCTTCCAGTGGCACAGGAACTGGGACAAGGGCAGCACCGGAGCTGGCACCTCAGGTAAGCCCGTCAGGGCTCCTGCCCTCCGGGTCCTCAAAAATATCCCGGAATCCTGCAGCCGATCTCCGTCTGTACTGAGAGTTATCTGCACCTCCTGTTAGCAGTGATGGGCAAACCCGTCTTTCTGGAGGCCCTAGAAATAACGGGGCCGAGTCGGAGCCTGCACTTACCAGGCCACGGCGGCCCGGCGTAGACGCCACATCCCTCCAGCGAGGAGGTCACACAGGCGCTGAGACGGCCACGCGGGAGCCGGGTGTCAGTCCCAGTCCGGCCCCTGCTCCAGGAATGACCCAGGAAAAGGCCCTGGGCAACAAGGACACGGAGAAGCCACTGCGGCCCTCCCAATGGCGCATGGACTTCCGTGAGAGCCCGCCCGGCACCCGTACCCGGTCCGTCAGGCAAACCACCACCCCGCCCTTTCCAGGAGGGCGGCACGAAAGGGCCGAGCCGGCCTGGCGCATGCGCCCGGAGCCCCGGCGAGCCTGTGTTCCCTCCCCGAGCGCCCCGCCCTCGCCGTTTCCGGGTTGGAATGCGCAGCCTCGCGGGTTGAAGGTTTGGTTCGGGTCGTGACGCGCGAACGCGAGGCGTTTGCAACCCGGTTCGATGAGTTCTCACCGGGTGGTACCAATTTAAGAACATTTAGGTATTCAGGGAGCATGGAGAATCCTACCGTGTACAGAACGAGGACAGTAATACAGTCATAGAAACCGACGGGGCTCCTCGCTGTCAGCGCCTTTCTTTGATTACAAAATGTTTGCACCCCGTAGGACCAGCTCGGGGAGGCTGGGGAGTCGCCAGGGACTCCTTCCGAGCTCAGAGCTGAAGGGCTCGGGTCCATTAGGCCAGTTGCAGGTTTGGAATAAGCTTGTGAAGTTTATAGAGGCGTCAGAAATGACTTTGTCCAGCCTTTAGCCGCTGTCGTCTGGGTTTCCATCTGACCGGGGGGTGGAAATGGCCCGTGCCCACGGCCCCCTCGCAGCCCCGTGCCCACGTCCCCCTCCCAGTCCCGTGCCCACGTCCCCCTAGCAGCCCCGTGCCCACGTCCCCCTAGCCGTCCCGTGCCCACGTCCCCCTCCCAGTCCCGTGCCCGCGTCCCCCTAGCAGCCCCGTGCCCATGTCCCCCTCCCAGTCCCGTGCCCACGTCCCTCTAGCAGCCCCGTGCCCGCGTCCCCCTAGCAGCCCCGTGCCCATGTCCCCCTCCCAGTCCCGTGCCCACGTCCCCCTAGCAGCCCCGTGCCCACGTCCCTCTAGCAGCCCCGTGCCCACGGCCCCCTAGCAGCCCCGTGCCCACGTCCCCCTCCCAGTCCCGTGCCCACGCCCCTCTAGCCGTCCCGTGCCCACGTCCCCCTAGCAGCCCCGTGCCCACGTCCCTCTAGCAGCCCCGTGCCCACGGCCCTCTAGCAGCCCCGTGCCCACGTCCCCCTAGCAGCCCCGTGCGCACGGCGCCCTCCCAGTCCCATGCCCACGTCCCTCTAGCAGCCCCGTGCCCACGGCCCTCTAGCAGCCCCGTGCCCACGTCCCCCTAGCAGCCCCGTGCGCACGGCGCCCTCCCAGTCCCATGCCCACGTCCCTCTAGCAGCCCCGTGCCCACGGCCCTCTAGCAGCCCCGTGCCCACGTCCCTCCAGCAGCCCCGTGCCCACGCCCCTCTAGCCGTCCCGTGCCCACGTCCCTCCAGCAGCCCCGTGCCCACGCCCCTCTAGCAGCCCCGTGCCCACGTCCCCCTAGCAACCCCGTGCCCACTGCCCCCTAGCCGTCCTGTCCGGCCGGCCCGGCCCCCTCGGCCTGCAGCTCTGAGCGCTGGGTGCAGCGCGCCCCTTCCTCAGCTCCCCCCTTGGCTCTCAGGACGGTACATGCTCCTTTTTCTCCGGGAGCTGCTGCTCCCCACGCTCTCCTGCTGGTTTCTCTTCCTCTCCCAAACCCCTCAATGTTGGAGGGACCCAGATCCCAGAGATCCCGGCCCCTTCCCCTTCCATCTTATTCTTTCCCTAAGTAACCTAGGTCAGGTCTATGGTTTTAAATACCCTTTCCCCCCCCCTTGCAACTCTTACCATTTTATGTTTTATGAAGAAACGGGGGCCCATAAAAGAAATGTGGCCCGTGAAAGGTAATGAAGGCAATTAGTGGCATAGCCAAAATCAAAGGGTCTTGTGTCCCTGCCCCCCCCCCCAGCATAAAACAATTTATTTTCAGATCAAAATCCCCAGTTAGTATCCATCCATTCACAACAGCACCCAGTATAGACTCAGCCGTAGGTAGCAAACTTCCCAAATGCAGGACTCCGGGAATTTTCTTTATTATGTTTATTGTGCTCTTTTAATGGCAGGTCCAGATAGGAACTTGTTATAATGACCTGTGCAAACTGTAGATCTTTCCAGGATTGTAGAGTTGCACAAACCTGTCTTTGTTCCTGTTACTTGCTAGTTGTTTAAAAAAAAAAAGAAGAAGAAGAAGAAGAGAAACCAAGTAGTAGCAACCCCTTTCATATATGGGTTATTTTTACATTATAAAAAGCCCTGGTTTTGCAATCATACTTCTAGGCATCTATCCTACTGAAACACTCCCACGTATGTGCAAAGATGTATGCATGATATTTCTTCATTGCATATAGCAAACTATTGGAATCAACATAGTTAAAAGATGAACTCAGGCAAATTAAAAATTTTAATTGTTTATTTTATCTAAAATTTATTTGCGTCAGGTGGTGCCACACTGGAAATAGGTAGGAGTGCTCCACCGACAGGAGCTGGGGGAAGACTCCTCTAGGGACACGGAAGTAAAGCAAGAAAATTATTTGATCGGCTATAGCCTAAGTGGCTGCCCTATATGGGAAAGCCTAGTTGGCTGTTTGTGATTGGTTGTCTCAGGCTTTGATTTATTAACCTTAAAACATTTACAGGCTTAGGTTTTGGTTTGCATTGTAGGCTGACAAAGCATTAGAACCATCTCAGTCTAATTGCCCCTTTGTTTAATTAATTTAACACCATAAATGCCCATAGCTAAGAGCCAGTTAAATAAAATATATTCACACTAGGCAAGAAAGCCTATAAGACCTCTTTGTCCTACTGAGAAACAATCTCTAATGTATAGTATCACATGAGAAAAAAAGGGCAGATATTAGTAATCAAACTGCCACCATTGATTCAAATGCAGCCTGCAGACCTAGTTCCTTTGGCTTGTGTTGGCCTACTCAGTATTTTAAAAATAGCATTGGATTTGTTGCCAACATTTAAAAATGAAGGAATTTCACATTAAAAAAAATTCTGGTTTCTCTTAAAGTGTCAGGTCTGACAACATCAAGCTTACACAAAAAAATTTTTAAAAGTCAGGTGAAACAAGGAGCGAAGCAGTGGTTCTGTCCTTCAGACATTCATGTCCTCTCCAGGAGTTTACATTCATTCCTTCTTCAGATCTTCCTGAAATTAAAGAATATATCAATTGCCATGTATCATGAAACTTGTGTTTATATTTTCTTTAGTAAAATCAGAGAAAAGAGAACCACTACTTATTTTATATCAAAAGTGAAAAAATGAAAGACTGAGAGGGTCAAGTGTTTCCAAAACAAGAAAAAAGAGCTTTTTTTTTTTTCAGAAGAAAAAACATAGCTGGAAATAAATTATGTGGTGTTGAAAGAATACAAATTACGATGGTATTACACAATAAACACACAGGCATTATTCATCTTACATGGCTGACCCAGGAAAGTATTTTGAGTTGATCTGCGCTAGTGAAGTGCAGTGTAATATTGTGATTTATAATAAGAAATAAGTATATGATCTTAGTCATTTCTCCTGGCTCATGGCTCACCAAACTCTTGATATTTCATAAGTGACCAGAGCAATAGGGGCATCTTTTGTTATAACATTTGGTTTCTGTCCTCCTGACATACCTCCAAAGTGATAAATGTGAAAGAAGTGTCTTGATATTCATAAGAAGTCTCTTTCAACAACATCTGAGTTTATGTTAATGAGGCAACTTTTGGAAAACCCCTAATGATGAAGGCTAGTTACCAGGGCAACCAATCACGTGATTAAAGGATTGGATCTTTCAGCCCCATCCTCACCTCTGAGGAGGTTGAATACATCATCAGTGGCCAATTATTTCATCAATTATGCCTAAGTAATGAATCCTCCATAAAAACCCAAAAGGACACAGTTCACAGAGCTACCAGGTTGGTGAACAAGAATGCATCCATGTGCTGATAGGATTGTGTCCCTGAACTACCAGGTTGGTGAACAAGAATGCATCCATGTGCTGATAGGATTGTGCCCCTGAACTCTAAGGGGACACAAGCTCCTATGCCAGGTACCCTTCTGGAACTTGCCCAAGTATGTCTTCATCTGGCTAATCATTTATATCATTTAATATCCTTTGTAATAAACTGGCAATCTAGTAAATATGCTGTTTTCCTGAGTTCTGTGAGCCACTCCAATAAATCAATCAAACCTCAGGAGGGGGTCATGGGAACCTCTGAATCATAGACAGTCAATCAGAAATACAGAAATACCTGGACTTGTGATTGAAGCCTGAAGTGAGGAGGGAGATCATTCTTGTGGGACTGAACCCTTAACCTGTGGGACCTGAGGCTAGCTCCACATAGACTGTCAGAATTGAGTTGAATTGTAGGGCACCCAGCTGGTATCTGGGGAATCTGAGAATTGCTTGGTGTGAGGGAATCTATCCCCCCAGCCCACTCCCAACACATTTGGTGAGAAGAAGAGTCAGAAGTGAACAGAGTATTCAGAGGGTATTTAGAGTAGACACATAGGAGTGATTTTCCTTCACAAGTAGGGTCTGGGGAAGAACTTGAAGATGTTGGGTCATGAGTGGAGGGAAGACTTACTTATATTGTAAACTCTTATACTCTGAATTTGTTAACATGGTTTTTATTTACTTAAATAAATGGATGTTAAAAATATTTATCTGCCTGGCCGGCATGGCTCAGAGGTTGAGCATCAACCTAGAATCCAGGAGATCACTGTTTGATTCCTGGTCGGGGCACATGCCTGGTTGCAGGCTCGATCCCCAGTGTGGGGCGTGCAGGAGTCAACCAATCAATGACTCTCTCATCATTGATGTTTCTATCTCTTGCTCTCCCTCTCTCTTCCTCTCTCTAAAATCAATAAAGATACATTTAAATATATATGTATATATATTTTTTTCTGGCCCAGGAGTCATGAAATAATTTTGCTATTTTAAACTAAATTTGCAGGTTCAGCTGGGAATTGAGCAATCTGCTATTTAAAACTCTTAAGACATTACTTTTACTTGCAAAGAGACACTTTTCAAAGTTTTCAATAAAGCAGGTATCTTTAGAAAGGGAGATAATGGGAGATGTTAATGGAAACCAAAATATTTGCATTTGGTTTTTAAATTTTATATTTAAATTTTTACCATAAAAGTTTTTGCAGAGTTCTTCCTGAGAGATGCCCAAGTT